CTCAGCATCTTTCTCATGGCCACGGACCCCCAGTGCCACGTTCGTTCCTCTCATCTCTTCTGGAACGGGCCACCCCCACCTCCTCTTCCCCATCCTCTTGTCTCCTCCTCCTCTCCCCACCCCCACCTCCTCTTCCCCTTCCTCTCTCACCACCACCAACAGCAGCAGCAGTTGCAAGCTCAGCATCTTTCTCATGGCCACGGACCCCCAGTGCCCCTAACGCCTCACCCTTCGGGCCTTCAGCCTCCTGGAATCCCGCCCCTCGGGGGCAGTGCTGGCCTCCTGGCGCTGTCTAGTGCTCTGAGTGGGCAGTCTCACTTGGCAATAAAAGATGACAAGAAGCACCACGATGCAGAGCACCACAGAGGTGAGAGGCCTGGCAAGCCAGATTAGGACTTGGTCCTAATACTCATACAGTGCTGCAAAGTTGTGTGCACCGCTAAAGAAAGCCCCACCCCATACAGAGAGCAAACAATGAGCTAAGAGGAACTGTCGCAAAGCTTGGCCACTGAAACCCAGTTCTCCCTGGAAGTTTTCAGGGTTTAACGTGGGCATCTGTAGATTTCTCGATCTCTTTAGGTTGCAGGCATCTTGACATCTTGGCAACTGCCTAGTTAATGCCAGCGGCCTGTACCATATTATGGAAAACTGTTAACTGCTTAATTGGGTAATTTTCAAAGAAAGTAATGTTGTTAAATGGGGCGCAATAAGAAGTTAAATTTGAAAGTGAATGTGTTCAAATGAAAGGTTTGATAATTGCATCTGTTACTACTTAGTTTCATAGGCTTTAATTCTAGTATGCATTAAATATTGGGCAAAATTGCACTTGACTAATTTTTTGAAGAAAAGTAATTTATTCTGTCAAGAAATAAAAAAAAATAGGCTTTGTGTATGGTTAAACTGTAAATCTTATGTTTACAAAATACTGTAATTTTCAGGAAATCACTGTATTAGGAATGTGCAATGACTTATATAAATAAAAGCCATTTTTAAAACTGTTTGGGGCTTGTGTTCTAATTATTCCCCCCTTTTTTTTATTTCTGTTCTTGCCTCTGTGTCTGAACGGGCATGTCTGTGCGTTTCTTGGTAACCTCGGGAGCAGACAGAGAACCGGGCACAGTAAGTACTCAAACGCCTGCTGTACATAAACACATTGCCCTTCCAGCAATGCACCCCAAGCTGCCTTTCTTTAAACACGGCCGCAGACACGCATATGCTCCCTGTCTCTCTCAGTGACCTGGTTTTTTTCTTTTCTTTTCTTTTCTTTTTTTATATTATGATGGTCTACCCTCCCTCCCCCCGACCTTTGTGTTTTTTTTTAATAAAACTTGTGTGATGAGAGGGACATGATTTGGAGGCAAAGCTGTCTGCTGTGATTACTCACTTGGAAATACACTTTGATCTGTATGTGCCCCAGACCCACTTTAAAAATATGTTTATCATTGCATTCCGACTCCAGGTTGCCTGGAGTTTTAAAAGAGTATTCGTTTTTGTCTTAAATCAGTTTTACAGGCAAGAGGTCACAATCCATATGTGAAATTGGTTAGTAATGTCTTATTTCTACCTACACCATTCATTATCCTCCTCAAATGCATCTTAGTTGCTAGGTTTCCATATCTAGTTTTCTTTTCGTAATTGTCCTTGGAGGGTGAACTTGAACTTAAATTTATTTTTGACCAAAGAACTGAGCGTCTAAGTAAGCTCTGAAGAACAAGGAAACTCAGTGGACGGAGGCTCTGGGCTTTATAAGGGTTCATTTTTTCATCGGCCTAAATCTTACCCATTTTACATACTGCACGTTCAGTCTGTACGTGTATCTGCCAGTAAGCTATGGGGAGATCGAATCTAATATGGAGTGAGAAATTGGCCCCTTTTCAGCGAGGATAACCTATAATTTGTGCCTCCTTTCCTCCTCCTTTCCTTTCCTTTTGAACATGGCGGTATTTTGGCCAGGTTGAATCTAAATATGGTAGCAGAATTGGGATACTGAACTTTTAAATCATTCTGATCCTTTTTTTTTAGGAGTTTGGGGGAGGGGGAAGATAGGTGAATCACTTGTGTGCAGAAAGTTCTTTTTCCCTCTTCTGTGTAGAATAGTGGCTACTTTTAAAATTCTTTTTGAGACTGATCTTGGTGTTACTTTTTTTGTTTTGTGGTTTTTTTGTTTTGTTTTGTTTTTTGTTTTTGAGAGGGAGAGAGATGGGGGATGGGGCCGGAGGGGCAGAGGGAGAGAGAGAATCTCAAGCAGGCTCCATTTCCAGTGCGGAGCCCAACATGGGGCTCGATCTCATGACGTGAGCTGAAATCAAGAGTCGGTTGTGTACTTTATGTAGCAGGATTCTTTGGGGGCAATGGATAAGGGTGAAAAGATGGGGTGGCTAGTTTTAAAATTCTCGTAAGTTTTCTCTGGAAAATGCTGGGAGGGAAAGAGGGGAGAAAAAACCCCAGCTAGGGAATAAAATACCCTACTCCTAAAGTACAAACCTACGTGAACTGACTTTAATGGAGGTGACTTTTATGTTTGTTGCCGTCTCCGTGTCACTGTAGATTGTCCTCTTTCGAGCCATGTTCACTCAATAGAATGTCAAATTAAAAACCCTAATCCTGGACCGAAGAACAGAGATGGCAGGAGATGTTGAGAAAGCTCCTGTCCCGTAGTCTGCTGCAGGTTTTAATTTATTGAACTGATTATAGGTTTGGAACTGTATTTCTAAATTAGCTTTCTGTTCTCGGTACTGTTTCATCTTAAATCACTGTATATTTGTCGAGTGCTTGTGAGATGTAAGACAACACAGGAAATGTAGCTGTAGTTAGGGATATGTAGGCACACATATTACAAGCCCTCTCTCAAAGCGTTGAGGAAAGGTGACAAAAGTATGAGAAGATCTTGGGTTGTAGAAAGTTTCAGCGAGAGTTCTAGATAGTTGTGGAAGGGGTACCATAGTATGTATTTCTCTGAGATGCCATGGCACGAGTGATGAGCTGAGGTGTGCATGCTGAACCCAGTAGAACTGCTTTCCATAGCTCTGCTTGTGTGTCTGCGTGTATCAAATAACCTGTTTGTATTTTTGGCTGACAAACGTAAGCAAGAACTTAATTCACTTGGGGAAGTGAGGGTGGGGTGGAGGAAGGGTGAGGAGTTGTACCCTCCAAATGCAAAACAGTCCTTAAATTTCGATCGTTTTTAGGTCCTCAAGTTGAGTTCACCGCCAGTGAACTTTCAAGTCAAAATATGGTGGATACATGGCATAAACCAATCTGTACAATACCATAAAATGAATGGTTATTTAATGTGCTCTTTGCATGTCTCTTTCACATCAAATTTTTCACAAGTCTGAATGATAATTTTATTTTCAGAATAAGTATACATACTGTGTTTTCCGCCTAATTATTATAGACCTCTCTTGGTGATGATGATATAAAATGGGAAAACTGCACTAATTTGTAACCTAAACATTTAACTTGGTCTGTAGAGGAATGAAACTGTTCACTGTCCACTTATGTAAGTGGGGTTTCGCTGCAGTTATATAAAATGAAGTAGCTCTTTAAACTTGTGTAAAATTGAATATGAGAAGCAGTGGGTAATGAGAGGATGTGTACTGCTAGTGACTAAAATATTGTAGTACTTCTCTATTTAATAAAGTGGTTTGAATTATGAAGTCAAATTTTACTAGGTGAAAAAGTCAGTTGATTACCCTATATTGCTGCTGGTTTTTTGTTTTGTTTTGTTTTCAAACCAACAGAGTAGTGGTTTTCAAACTTTACGGTCTCAGGATCTTTACATCTTAAATTAAAATTATTGATGACCCCAGGGAATTTTTCTCTGTGTGGATTACAGATTTTGAAATTTTTCTGGATTAAGAAATTAAAAAACAAAAACAAAATCACTTTAACTGGTAAAGAGCTACTTAATTTGTGTTAGCATAAATAACTTTATTAATGAAAATTAACTACTTTCCCAAACAAAAAATTGTAGTGGGAAGAGTGGCTTTGTTCTACTTGTTTGCAGGTATCTTCAGTGCCTTCAGTTTGCAGAGAGGATAGATGTAGTCTCATCAGCTTCCGTGTCCTCTCTGTGGCAATACATTGTTTTGGTTGAGGTATAGGAAGAAGATCTGCCTCCATAGAGATTGTAACAGTCTCTGGGAACCTCAGGGTCCTTGGACCAAACGGGGAACCTCTGTCATAAATAAGACTGAGGAGTTCTGAGACATTCCACGCTAGTATCTGGTCTTATTTTTTTTTTTTTCCTGCTGTTCTCTCTGTATTGAACAAACATGATAATTACCTGTATCAAGTGCAGCAGTCAGGGACTTTTGTAGACCCAGAGGGAATGTGAGTGTGTATGGATTTTCATCTGTGCATCTAAACCTGGTTTGTAGATAGTTTGTATTTGTTTATTTCTAGTGACAAAATTATTACATTTGCTAGCTTAAGGTTATTTGGTAGGAAAACAAACGAGCCTTACTGTAGCCTGTTTTAATGTAAAGCCCAAGAAAAAAATGAAGGTAAGGACAGTGAAAATATGGACACTATTTTTTAATTTTCTTCTTTTTGAAAGAGATGAATGATGAAGGGAAGAGCTTTTAAGAGGGTTTATTTTGCTATTTGGCTGTTGATTTTAAATTAAGATTTGACTACTGTTTTTACTAATTTGCAAAACTTGTTTGCAAGTTTGTTTTTTTTTTTTAACATAAGGCTACTTGTCAGAGTGCTACAGTTGAGCAAAGACATGACATGACCTAACAAAAAGGACTTTATTTCTTACGTGGTAATAAAAACTTTGGGTATTTCAATTAATGTAAAGATGAATTGTGTTCAGTTTTGGCTGAAGGCAATCTTCCAGTAAGTCTGCTTGAAAGACCTGGAATCAGATTTGACAGAGCATTTGTATGGGTCTTGAAAAAACATGACAGAACGTGTGCTTTGATACTCATTCGTTTAACAAATATTTAGCGAGCACGTACTATGTGTCAGACACTGTGTGAGGCACTGCGTGTGGAATTGACCCTTGAACCACATGGGTTTGAACTTTGCGGGTCCACTTATGTGTGGATTTTTGTTGATAAACACAAGACGGCACCGTAAGTGTGTTTTCTCTTCCTTACGATCTTCTTAACATTCTCTGGCTTACCTTTAAGAATATAGTATATAGTACATGTACAAAATACGTGTTAATCAACTGTGTCATAGGTAAGGCTTCCTGGTCAACAGTAGGCTATTAGTACTTAAGTTTTAGGGGAATCAAAAGCTAGGCGTGGATTTTTGACTGAGATGGGGGGCACACCCCTAATCCCCACGTTGTTCAAAGGTTAGTTGTACTTGCTGCCATTTTGCAGTGATATCTTTTAATGTCACAGGCACATATTTGTTAAATCAAAAACACTGGAATGCCTAACACATGTGATCACTATTTGGAACGTTTGGAAGAGGGAGGAGATGATGGGGATAGGTGTCTGGGAGAGACTCCAGAGCACAGGGTCTGTGGACTTAGGCGGGGTACACATGTGGGCTTCAGGAGGTACTTGAACCCCTCTAAAACTGTGTGCGTCATGTTCTGGGGTGGTGCTCCTTTCTGTTAATTGTGGAGAGAAATGATAACTTTCATCAAATTCTCAAAAGGGGTCCCTGGCCCCGGAAAGTGTTACACTGTTAATGTATTTAGAGGTCATAATGATGCAACACCATCATCTGACCAGTAAGACCCCAAGCTCAGGGAGGCTAGGTGCTTCTAATTATACAGTTAATCAGCGGAGGTAGAGATTTAGATTATGTCTCTCTGAGGAACTGGGTTGTCACTCCTATAACTGACTTTGTAGAATTACCGAGTTCATCTTTAGAACTTATTTAAAAATAGTGATGACAGTCATCACTTTATTTAATATGAGGTGGTGTCTTTATTTTGTGTTTCTTCTGGAGCTGTTCTGCTTAACTAGTTAATTGGTAAGACCAGATCCTACTACATCCTATTAAGGATCACCCATGATTTTTTTCTCAAATCACACTCAGCACTACAGAGTGCAAGGAGAACCTAAGACATGAGTCTCTTTGTAGAATACTTCACTGTTGGCTTTTTTCTGAAATTTTGCTTTTTTGAAAAAAAAGCACCCCTTCGAGCG